GTGTATATATATATATATATATATATATATATATATATATATATATATGTATAGGTGGTCTGGCGCTCAGCCCTGAATCGTATAAAGAGAACGTGAGAACGGCGCATGGATGGATCCAACCCCTTGCGAAATGGCCAAATGGCTCGCGCGTGGATCTGTCTTTTCCATAGTTGTATCGTTTGTCGTCTCGCTGTATTCGCTTGTAAATTATAAATTGTATGCCTTTCGTGGTATTTAGTGAAAAATATACGAATATCAAAAATATCAAAAGTTTGATATCGAGTCGTTTGTTGCGAAACAAAAGATCGCAAGATGATAAGATAATGCAGAGTGTTAAAATATTATTCGCGAGACAGTTTTGAGGTATAGAAAGTTATCGGTCGACGCTTATCACGTTTGGAAACACGAGTAAATTTATGAAATTTACAGAAACGGAAAAGATAAGAAGATTTGCTTCGCAACATCTCGGAAAGTTAATTCCACTATCATTTGCGCGGTGATCGTGGAAAATTGTTTTGTCACTCAATTTTGATCTTTTCCTTTCGCTTTCATTAGTGTTCGCGTAGTCTGCATTTTAGAACTCGAAAATTTTCGTTCGAAATAGAATAATCTCGTTCGGGTAATTTTAAAATTGTTTCAGTACCGTAATCCACTAAAAAGAAACGCTTACAGGGAATTTTGTTAAGTACCCGTTAAAAAAATTCAAATAAAAATGACGGTAGACTCTGAGCGCGAAATGTTTCGCGCTAGGTGTAATCTTTTATTTCTTTTTTCTTTTTTTTTTTTTCCAAGCCAAAAGTCAAATTCCATCCCGACGATCTTCCCCCATCGCGTTCGTCGCCCCATCGAAAATAATCTAAAACGAACCGTTAAAATGGAACGTTTTAATTAATAGACGTGTGTAATTGATATCCCTGACGAGGGGAAAATAAAATTCGATCTCTGATACGCGTCCAACTCGTTCTCTATCGTTCGTTATCGATCACTCCCTCCCTCTTCCGTCGAAATTTTGCACAATGGACGCGAGCACGTATCGCGATCGCGCGCAAATTTTCGCTTTCGCCGCGTGTCGACGCTCCCCCCGCCCCCTTGCTGCACATTTTCGAAACGCTTTTCGCTCGCACGTACGCGCGTAAACGGGTCCCTTCCGACCCGGCTGTAAATGGCCATAATGCACGCAAAAGGGTGGCTCTACGTGTCGATGTGCCGTCCCGTGCGCCCTTCGTCCTCCTCCACTCCGATTCTCCTTTTCGAAATTTTCCGCGCGTGCCTCGAATGCGCGCGAGTCGAGGACGAAGGAGAAAGAGAAGGAAGAAGAAGAGGAATAAAAGTAAGAGCGGGGAAGGAAGAACGACAGGGATGAAAGTGGAAGGACAGAATGATCAAAGAAAAGGGGTGGACGAAAGAGAGACGAGGGGAGGAGGAGGGATAAAAATGGGACTGGAATAAAACGAAAATGTTTCGAAACGGAAAGCACACGGAAGAACGATGTCGAGATCGGCGCGTATGCCGAATCACGAATTGCAAATGAGCGCGCGGCGGCCATCACGAACGGCGGCCTTCCTGCCCCTCCATCCCTCTCTCTCTCTCTCTCCTCCCCCCTCTGATTTTTATTGTCTCTCGCAGCGGGTGCATTTTAATTTTTCAACAGGTCGGATTTATTCAACCGCTGGTTAAATTGCAAGGGACATAGCGACCGATGATGTTTCGCCGATTTATTGCGAATCGATCCGGCCTTTATTTCGCTCGATGAACCATCATCCTCTTCGCTCCTCCCCCCTGTAATGCGGGACATCGATAATATTTTCCTTCGCATCCTGACTGGATCCTGGTTTCATTTACGAATTAAGTGAATTTTGCAAATTATCTTATTCAGTTTCATTGTCACTTTAAAAATAGGGAAAAGGGGGTGGAATTAAAGGGTAGTAGGTGAAAATTTTTATTTTGAAATACTGATTATTCAAAAGTTATTGCACAGAAGAAATCGTCGATATATATTTTATATTGTTAGTTTCAAAAAAAGGGAAGAAACATTCCTTCCTGATTTTTGTTCATGATTTTTTGAAATATTAAATGGATCAAATTATGATGAAATTTCTTATCAAATTAAAGATCTATCTACCCCAATTACGATAAACGCGTAAACCATTTTTCAACTCATTTTTCACTTGTACAACTCTTCCATTCGATGATGCATTACGTCTATTTTTCGCAATTTCGCGATTCTCCGAATCTCGTCCGCTACGCCACGAGATTACTCACGCATTTGCGGACATTTTTCGAAACGATTCTCCGCAGCCGTGTTCAAAGCCTTTTGTGTCCACCATCGCGAAATACCCGTACCATCATCCAGCTTCGAGTTTCACAAGCTCTCGTCACAATCTCAATCTCCCTGTACACGCAAGGGATCTCCCTTCGTTTCATTCTCCAGTGTCTTCGTCCCTCTCTTTCCCCTCGTTTGCTCAACGCGACGGAAGACGAGGCAGGACGCGGCGATATTGCCGAAGATTAATCGCATCCGCATTGTTGCCTCTCTCTTTGTCGTCCCGGCCGCCAACAGTCCACCACGATGTAACCGCGATCAGTAACCCGACTGCTTGACGAACTTGTCCGCCGCGTTGTTGACAACTGTGGAGGCAGTATTCCTCCCCATGTTGTCAACCACGATGTCCTTCGAAAGATCCGTTTCGACGAAAAATATTGTACTCCATCATCAAAGTATCGTAATAAATTAATATCGCTGCGTAAACTCTGTTTATACTCGTGGAGAATCGATGGAGATGATTGTACACGATTTTCGAACAGTTCCACTATACCTATATCTGAGAATATTATCTGAATTCAGAGATCGATGTAAACTAAAACAGTAAGACAAAATTCATTATACCAGTATTATTTGCCTTAGCTTGTAGAGAGTTTGCGTCAGTTACGGGAATCCCGATCCCAATTTTCTCATTCCACCGCGTCCTATTCTAAAATTACCATACCATCAACATTTATTTAAGAACATCCACTTTTCGTATGATATACGAAAACAACGTACCGTGTACTTCCGTGTTCGAAAGATGTGCAAAGTTGAGTCCCCGCTTATTTGCGCCCACCAAATTTCCAGTAAAGCTTGGAAGAGCAATAGCGAGACGGTGATTTGGAATGGTATCATCGAAAAACAATCTAGGTTGGGAAGGTGGGAGTCGAAATATTGTTTAGGGGCGGAGGAAGAATCTGCTTTATCGTTCGGTGTGAGGAGAGTGGATCGGATATATACGGGGCGGCTACTGAATTTTCGATCGTGGAGAGCGGTCAGCCGGCATACAAAGCAGCAGCGGAGTGCTCTTGTTTTTTTTTTTTTTTTCAGAGGAACGGTTGGCGGGAACGTGAAAGCCCCGCATGCGCGCCCTTTTCGCGTCACGATTCGCGGTAACGGCCAACTTTGTCGTTCTGTAAACGAAGCCTGTACAAGTGCGTTGTCCCGCCACAGTCGGGGAAACACCCCTCGTAAATTCTTTATGGTTTCGTCGCGGCCCGACTTTACCCATGCGCTTTGCGCCACACGCTTATACACGCTTCTCGTTCACATCCGCAGCCGAAGTGCTTCATAAGCGGATGCCTCTTTTTATTTCGAGTGTTCGAAAACAATTTGTTTCGAGAGGTTGGATCGAAATGGATCGATCCATTCGAATAACGAATAAATGAAGGTATTGCGGTGAAACGTAACGAACGAGACGAATGTTTGACAGTCGAGTTATTCGGAAGTTTCGTGTCGGGATATTTAATATCTTTCTAATAATAATTTTTATCTAACAAGAAGAGACATTTTAACAAAATCTCTTTGCATAAATTTCTAAATAAGAATGCTATTGAGATTTGCAATTAGGATTTTTATACGAATCGAAGGGTAATTTTGAGCTAACTTTTCAAATTTCCATATCCTCGAATATACGAATAACAATTAACTCGAGCGTTTAATAGCGTTTAGAATGAGATCGTTTGAAGACAATCGAGGACGATCGAGTTTTCATCCGTTCAAGTAGTTGATTCTTCCAAGTTTGAGAAACATTGTGGACGAGGAAAGAAAAAAACGAGCTGTGGATGGCAAACTTCGGTCAATCGAGCGGTGTTCAGCCATTTCTGTGACGGAAGACACTCGACGTCTTTTCGGACGTCGCGGATAGTTTCCTCCATCTTTGGTCGGGTTTGTTCGCGCCTCTTTGTCTTCGTCCAACGTCAA